TGTTTTTACACCCTTTAGTCTGCAAGTTTTTAAAGCTAAAAATCGTTAAAATCAGTACTAATTTTTTGGTATATTTTTATACCTTCTGTTTGCAAGTTTTTTTTGACTTCAAGCATATATGCGAGAAGGTAGGATTAAGTTTCATTCTGGCTTTGAACAGTATTTGCGAGAAGGCAGAGCTAGCGAGAATAAAATTGCAAGACATAAAACTCACCAGCATGATTTTTATATGCTTTGGGTATAGAACTAGTAGGCTTATTACAAACTTTGCAGAGGACACGTTTTTTAGACCTCCAATGTTTATGGCATCCTTGATGATAACGACAACTACAACTACAAACTTCACCAGAGTTATACAAATAATCACAAGTAAATTTTCCAGACATGAGTTAAAGAAATATTTTTTATTTAAACAAAAGATATGAATAAAGTAATATATAATAAAAAATACAAATATTCAAAATAATAGATTATAAAGATATCGAACTAGCTTTAATTAAAGTAATTAAAGTAGCATATAGTCAAGGTACCAAAAAATATGATAAATTAGAGGCATCATATGTAAACTATCTTAAAACTTTACAGCGAAAAAGAGATCCAGAAGATCATGTTAGATATGTAGCAAAGCAATGTACTCCAAACGAGGAAACCTATAATAGAAGAATAGCAGATTTTAAAAATTGATACAATGAAGAGATATATACTAGTTTAGAAAAGTTATATAAATTATATTTAGAAATAGCTAATCAAGAAGAAAAAGTAGGAAAGCGAACAAAATTACAAGTAGATGAAATTCTTCAAAAAATACATGGTTTGGAAATTTAAAAATTAATATATATTAAAGATACTAACTTCACTATTAATCTTGTAATACCTATTTGGGTAAATATTCGATCTTATCAACTTTTATTAATTGTTCACGAACAAATGATCTTTCAGGTCTATTGCCATTTTCATCTGTAAGCCAGTACAATACTAGTTGATTTTTTTGTATTAAAGATTCTTTAATATGATAAACTTTTGGAGACCAATTACAATTAGTCACACGATGTCTTCTACCTTCTAACTCATCTAGTTCAAGTAAGTATCTTACTGAAATATTATAAGATAATCAAGGTTTATCAAATCCAACAAGACTATTGCAAGGTAAAGAAGACATAGTATTAACCTGTTTCTTTTGTATAGCTTCTACAGGAGTCATTTTAAGAAGTCAAGTTACAGAATTATTAAGTTCTTTAACAATAATTAGAAGATTTTTCATCCAAGTTCTAGATCTTTCAGATATTGGCAATAGCAAATCTGATGCATCTTGTATTCGAAATAGTCTTTCTGCTAAGGTTCGGTTATATCTTTCAATAATACCCATAGTACATTTAGAATTAGCTTTTTGAATTTTTACACAATGTTTTATCATTAATTTTTCACAATCCTTTCTGAATTCAGAACTCTTATCTGTTAACAATAATTTAGAGTAAGTAAGTAGACATGTTGGATCATTATAGATTGTTTTAAATGCCTTAGCAATAGCATTAGAAGTTAAAATATTTTTTAAATTAACATCTTTAGCTTTTAACTGGCCTACATCGATATTAGGAATAATACCTC